TTTTTTTTTTTCTTTTTCCCATCTTTTTGCTGTCCTCGGTGAGATTCCATTCCAAGTCACTGCCCTGGAGTCAGTGCTGGCTCGTAGTGCCCCCCAACCCCCGCCCCGGTGGGTTTCCGAGACAGTAACTGCTTACTGGAGTAGAAAGTCCAGTCTTTCTCCCACGGAGCTGCTACTGATTTCACACTGCTGACCATGTGGATCCCAGCCCAGTGTAGAACCACTGCAACACCAGGGTTGCTGAGAATATACAGCAAAATCGACGCAGTTCATGTTTCTCCAGGGACAGTTCGGTGACATTGGCCGCATTCCTCAAGTCCTACAACCGTTCCCACTGCCGTCACCATTTGGTTGTCCCCCGTCACCATAAACTCACTGGCCTGAAGACTCCTGGCCAGGTGGAAAGCCGGTGTGGCTCTCAAGGCAGGCGTCCTTGTCCAACTCAGTGACCCCACTGGCTGGCCCTGCAGAGACTTGGGGTGCCCCACTAGTTCAGAGGCTAGAGGTGGGCTCCAGGCAGCAGTGGCAGGGGCTCAACCAGCCCCTCAGAGTCCTCTCCTCACCTTGCTTTGGCTCCAGTGGAAAGATGTACCCCATCCTCTTGCCTCTGGTCACCTGGGGTCCTCCCGAGAGTGACCCCACCGCTTCTTCCCTATGCTGCAGTGGTCCAGCCCGGATACCCCGCCCACCGGCGCATCGTGGAGGCCTTTGGCACAGAGGTCTTGCTGGAGAACGGCGACATCAACCGGGTGGCCCTGGGGGACCTGATCTTTAACCAGCCTGACCTGCGACGGCTGCTCAACACCATCACACACCCTGCGATCGGCAAGGAAATGATGAAGGAGACCTTCAAGTACTTCCTCCGGGGTGAGGCCCGGGACTTGCAGCAGGCCAGGGCCCTTCTCTGCAGAAAGTTTGGCGTGTGTGTGTGTGTGTGTGTGTGTGTGTGTGTGTGTGTGTGTACACGCTCTGGTATCCAGGCTGCTCTGTGCGCACTGTTCGTAGTACCTCCCCCGCCCCCTTAAGCACCACCACCCCCAGCAGAAAGGAGTGCATGTCCCTCACGTCAGAAGGTGGTTGTTGGTGCAATGAGAGGAAACATGGGCTTTGGGCCCATGAGTCCGAGGAAGGAAGGAAGTTGATTTTGCTGCTGCGGATGCTGATGGGGAAAGGAGTCCAAGGACCCACACTCAAGTCCTGCCTGCAGTGTCCAGCCGTGGGCCTGGCGGAGTGCTCGGCCCTCCGCCGGTTCCTCATGTGGTGTGAGGAGGAGAAGCATGCTGACCTCAGAATGCTGGCTGGAGGGTCACGGCGGCGGCCGGTGCAGAGCAGGGACGGGAATTTGGGGAGGGCCCAGGGCTCAGAGCAGGTGGCAGGGGAGTCGTAGTTGTACAGGGACAGCCCAGGGGATAGGCCTGTCCATAAGGGGTGTGTGTGTGTGTGTGTGTGTGCACTGTGGTCACTGACAAGACCCTGCCGTGTGCAGCCGTGTAGGGAGCCCTCCTCCTGCTGTCAATCATGCCAGAGAGGCTCTGACCAGGGCCAGGGCATAAGCAGCCTTCTAACTTGTCTCTAGGCCTTCTCGTGATCGTTGCTGACCCCTTCTGTGCGGCACGGAGCCCGCCTTGCCCTCCCCTCAGCCAGCACCTCCCAGAGAAGGAGGTGGTGAGTTGACAGATGCGGGTGGCCTTGAGCCCCCTAACTTGCCCAAGCTCTGGCAGGCTGGGCCTGGCTCCAGACACCCTCCGCGCTGGACCTGTTGTGTGCTGCCCCTCAGCACCTGGCCACCGCCCCACGCCCCCCTCCCTCCCTCCAGGAGAGTCTCTGTGCCAGTGTCCCTCCCACCCTGCCCGGCGACGGCCCTTCTGCTTTTCATCCCTGCCCTTTCCAGTGTGCTCCCAGGCCACTCCCGAGGCCGGCGGCGGCGGGGCTCTCTCCTTCTGAAATGAAGTCTTGGATAATGTCACTCGCTCCCAAGCTCTCTCACTGCGTCATCCACCCAGCCTCCCCCCGGCCCCCCCACCACCACCACTTAAATAAAAGCCAGAAAGCTCTTTTCAGCTCGATAAGGTGAAAACCGGGCCGACAGCTGTGGCTCGTACCGCCCCAGTTTTCCCTGATGAGTCTAACCAATACAACTGTCAAAGTCGCTATCATCAGACGTCAGATAAGATCACCAGCTGTTGGGAGGTCTCTGTGTAGGCAGACGGATGTCTTAATAGAGTCGGCATAGTTTGCCAGGCTTATCAAGCAGGAGGGAAGTGACAGCTGAATAGCCTTTGCCGGTGAACCGCAGGGCTGGCCACTCGCTCCCAAGAGGACCCAGGAGAAAGGCCAGCCAGAGGAGGGGGGACAGGAGTGCAGCAGGGAAGGGAGATAAGAGGACAGGAGAGGATCTGCTCTCAGCTCTGGATCGGAGCGGGGAGCGGTGAGGGTACCTAGCACTGCTGGCCCCCTCCCCCAGGAGCAGCAGTCCTGGTAGCCACCGGGGCTGGCCGAGGCGTGCTGAGTGGTTGCTTGCGCTCATGCATTTCCTCCTCAGTGACACTCCTGAGGGAGGTGGTGGCATCTCAGCCCTACAGGTGGATTGCTTACATGGCCGGCCCAAGGTCATAGGGTACACAGTAGGGGTAGGGGCTACGTGGCAACCTGTGTCATCACAATCTGGGCTCTCGACCACCCGGTTCCAGAGGAGTCCTGGGTTTCCTGGAAGCCAGCAACCCCAGCCCCTGGGGCAGCTCCCCCAGGTCCCTGCATCGCCGTGGGCACTGCGTTTACTGTGAGCCCCTGCGGAGCTGGGTGTGTGTGTGTGCACACGTGCGCGGGCGCGCGCCTCTCTCTGTGGGTATAACAATGTGGAGTCAGGCATCTTTCTGCCAGGGATGCTATTTCCACCCTGCCACCCATCCCTGGGTAGGAGCCATCCCTGGCCACACCCTCAGTGCTCCTCTGCCAGCTTTGTCACACCTACTGGGAGCTTTCTGTGCTGCTGAGAGAGAGGTTGACCGCATAGTATTGGGGGGTGGGGGTGGGGTTATGCCTTTGTCACACCTCTTGCCGCATTGGAGCCTATTATCAGTCATGACCAGCCCTACCACCTCCAGACCCAGTCCCGACAGTCCCTGGCTTCAGGTCTGCCTCTGGCACCAAGAAGCCCCCTCTCTCCCCTCCCGATTATTCCTCTCTCCTCATGGCCCCATTACACATACCTGCCCCTGTCTGTACCCATGCCTCTCGCTGGGTTGGTTGAGATGGTCACGCCAGGCCCTGTCCAGCAGAGGGCCAGCCTGTTTCTAGAGAGCACAGGTCAATGACGTAGTGTGTAAAGGGCCGAGAAAGGTCCTGAGAACTGTCCACTGTCCCACAGCCCTGCTCCTCAGAAAGCCTAACGCCGGGGCCCAGGCCAGCCTTGGGGTCTACCCTGGCCCTGGGTCAGCTTTACCCTGTGTGGGCCAGCATTGCAACTGGAGCAGGGGACTCCTCACTGCTCCCTGGGCTGGCCTGCCTCCCACTCTGGGATCCTCCCTCCCTCTGCCCAGGCCAGTCTAAGTGCCATCCTTCCAGCTACCTGCTGTGGGAGCCCTCCAGGCTAGGGTTCCCGTGCCTGGCACATGTGTGCCTGCAGGACTGACCTTGTGGCTTTTCCGGTCTCTCCCCAGGCTACCGCTACGTGATTCTGGATGTCCCCCTGCTGTTCGAGACCCAGAAGCTGCTCAGGTTCATGAAGCACACAGTGGTGGTGTACTGGTGAGTCCGACCTGCCCCTGTCCTCTCCCTGCAGGTGGCCAGCAGGCACGTGACGTGGTGGGTGGTGACTGGGTCTGGTGCCCAGAGCCTATCGACAGACATTGACCTCTCTCCCGCCCAGGGAAGTGGCCCCCTTGGTGGGCCCAGGTGCTGGCCCCTTCTGGAACGGCTTGGAAAGGGACCCTATTGGCTCTAACCTTTCAGGAGGGGCTGCTTCTGAGCCACAGAAAAGAGAACAGGGTACAGGTGGGGGACTCTGTCCAGGGTCGCTCACTAGCAGCACCCTTGAACAAGTGGCATGCAGCTGAGTGTCAGAGCCCTGCTAAGGAAGGAGCTTTGTTCCCAGAATCCCCCAGGCCATGAAGTAAACCAGAAGCCATGTCTGGCAAATAGTAAAAATCAGGCGGTGAGGAAGTCGCTGGGGCTCTGCGAGTTTCTGCCCCCCCTTCCAGAAACCTGGAAGCCACCACAAGAACAGCGGACAGCTAGGTGGATACATGGCTATGCAGGGAATTGGGGTACAGAGTGGTTCCCCAGAGATGAAGGCGTGGGTGGCTCTTAGCACACTGAGGGGGGCCTGGATTGCCCTGGCTTCCCCTTTCTCTCCCTATTCTCCCCTTTCCCCTTACAAGCTGTCCTCAAAACACAGCATGAATCCCCTGCCCAGCCCCCGGGTGGTCTGTGTGTCCCCATGGAAACATGCTGCCTCTCTGTTCCCCGTTTGTGAACCAAGGTGGGCCCCAAGAAGACCTGGGCATCTAACAAGATTGGTTCTCAGGACCTGGGGATTTAAAAACAAGCCTCTTAGATTGTAGGCAAGGTAGTCGAACCGGACCATAGTGGGCCTTAAGACCACGTGGTCACGGGTGACCTCAGGCTCCCCTGGCCACCCACTCTGCCTGCCTTGTCCTTTGCCGTTGCCAAGAGCAGAGAGCTGAGGCCTTCCGCAGGAGTGCAGGTCTCTGCAGCCCCCTCTGCCTGCTCTCTGTGACCCTCCCAAGCCCACACCTGGTCAGAAAAGCCTGGGCTGGACAGTGGGGTGCTGGGCCCCTCTGGAGCCCGAGTAGCTGTATTCCCGAGAGTTGCCAGAGAGCTGGGAGGGAAGGATGGCTTGCTTCTCACTAAGGGATCTGACACGTTTGAAAAGTGATCCCCTCATGGTTCTACTTAATGGCAAGCTATCCATGGTGCACCCTACATAACAGAGGACACTTTCTAAAGTGTGATTACACCCCCACGTGACCACCCTTACTTCCCGAGGCTCTTGTCAACAGTGGAATGGGTGTTGGGAGAATCTCATTACCACAAATAGTAGCAAGCCTTATGCCAACCTTAGCAGGACTTCTTGCTGGGCCCCAGTCCGGGGCTCAGGGGGATGCCACCTTCACTTCGCAGAGATCCCTGCATCTTGGCTGCACCCTCATAAGACTGTGCCCCCACAGGGTCCCCGGACCATCTTCAACTCTCACAGAGATGGCCCCAGCCCTTGGTGTGGCCCCCTGACTAAAGCTGGAGATTGGGCTCAGCCAAGAGGAGATTGGGCCCATGACCTTAGTAGGGCATTGTTCCCTGCCAGAGGGAACCAGTGGCCTCGTGCATTGTCATGGCGAGGTGGGTGGCCACTCACACCTGTCTGGATTGCTTAATGTACTCCCTCAGGGTCCCCCAGCATTCCCAGAGGAGGGGGGACTCCAGGCCTAAGGACTGGCAGCAGCCAACTGGAGGTTCAGGTCTGGGCAGCCATGGCAGACGAGGGGTGCCCTGTCTTCCGGCAGAAGACAGGTCTGTGGATTCTTTGCAAGTTGGAAGCCAGCACCCAGGTGGAGGGATCAAGGTCGCAGTCCCCAAGTCCTTACACTCCTCTTTGAAGACCTGGGGACTCTCAGCCCTTCCCTTCGTCAGTGGAGAGTGAGGTGGGGGCAGGGGAACCACCCAGGCACAGCAGGGAAGGTTGTGCTTGCCCAGGCCTGTCCATAAAGTTACCAACACCCCCAGGGATCCAGGATGCAGCTGATCCCAGGTGAGCAAATCTCCCACCTTACAGCTGGGACATTTGGGCCTCATGGCTAAGCAGAAATGACCCAGACGATGGGCAGTGGCTGCTGCAAGCCACCCCTCACCAGCCACCCCCAGGGCCCCCTCGAGGATTGGGGAGGGATAGCAGTGAGCTTCCAGATCCCTCTCCCTGGGGTGGGGTTCCTGACTTGCTGCGGGGGAAGGAGGCTGTGCCCCTACAGGGCCCAAACCATCCTCTCCCCCTGTTGGCAGTGACCGGGACACCCAGCTGAAGCGGCTGATGCAGCGGAACCAGCTGAAGCTGGAGGAGGCCGAGGCCCGTATTGGGGCCCAGCTGCCCCTGAAGGAAAAAGTCCGCCTGGCCCGCCATGTTCTGGACAACTCTGGCGAGTGGAGTGTCACCAAACGCCAGGTCATCCTCCTGCACGCCCACCTGGAGAGCTCCCTGGAGTACCTGCCGCTGCGGCTGGGCGCCCTCACAGGCCTGGCGGGAGCAGCTGCTCTCCTCTACCTGCTGGCCCGCTGCCTCCTGCCTTTGCCCTAGGCAGCCCCCCCACCCCCACCCCTGACCCTGGATCCCGGCAGGCCCTTGCCCGCTGCGGGTGTCCAGCAGATAGGTGGCTGTACCTGGCTTCCTTCCTGACAGCTGCTCCCCTCCTCCCACCACCAACTGAGCTGATCCACACAGGTGCCCGGCTGCAGCACTCAGGCTGTCTGCTGTCAGTGCCTTAGGAGCGGGTGCGTAACACTGCCTCCGTGGCCATCCACACAAGGCCTCTGAGCAGGTGCCACATTGTGGCCCAAGCCACCTTGCTGGACCGTGGCTGCCGCTTCCACACGGTGCAGAGGTTCTCTAGTGGGTGACAGTGTAGCCTCGCTCTGGATAAGCCCCCTATCCTACCAGCAGAACCCCGGCAGCACAGCCCACCCAGAGCCCCACTACTGTGCCTCCGCCTCCCCACCCCCACCGGGCTAACTCCAGCTGAAACACTTACAAACCTCGCCAGTGTTAGGTGTTCCTGGTTGCCACACCTCCAAATCTGACCTGAATCCAGCAGTCGGCTGGTTGGTCTTCTCACCTAGACTGGAAGCCCTCTGAGGGCGGGGTCTCGGCTCCCGGTGCAGAGGCTGGACTCACCCTTGGCATTTCCATCTGGAATGCCCTGTCACCCAGCACGGAGGCCCACTAAGGCCCCTGGCCTCTACTCACCCTAGGCCTGGGGACCTCACATCCCAGGCGCCAGAAGGCAAAGTAGCCCCACTGACTTCTCTGGGCCCAGGAGGGTTCCAGCCCAGTCCAGGTGTACTCACGGAGGTACTGGGGAGCATCACAGCCTATTCCCCACTACTCTGTCTTCCCTCCCCAACCCAATTAGTCCGGTGTAGACATCAGCTGTCCTGGCCAGCCGGAGTGCGCAGACCTGCTGATGTGTTGATCCTGTGACCAGCAGCCTATTAAGGCCAGAAATGAGGATGACAAATGTGAACACTGTCGCGGCCATATTTAGTGCTCCCTTTCCAAAGCTGCTCATGTGAAGCCAGCTCATTAACTCACGGCAAGCTCCCAAGGGGTAAAGAAGGGCTGGGCCAGGAGGCCCAGTGGATGTGGACAGCCGAAGCCTGGCAGGAGGAGTGATAACAGGGAGGGAAGAGCCAGACCCGCCTGTGCTGTCACTCCAGGGACTGAGTAAATGCTTCTTCCTGGATGCCTGGAGGTGGGGGCTCCACTGAGCATGTTACAAGTAACATGCCAATGACTGCTTCAGAAACCCTGCCCTGTGTCCGCAAGGCTCTTCCCAGGAGGGGCAGGAGACCTGGAAGTGGGCCCTGGTTCTGTCACTTACTTGCTCTGTGACCTGGCTCGTCTCTTCAGCAAAGTGGGCTTCATGAGACTGAAGTCGGAGTCAAATAAAAGCGCTCTGCAAACTATAAAGTGCCAATCAAGGACCGACTTTCTCCCTTAACTCAGTAAGCCATGGAGGGTGAGGACGCAGATGTAATCCGGCCCTCCTCCCTGGCTCCCTTTTCCAAGCTGGATGGTCCAAGACGGCCCTAGATCAGGGGCCACTTTCCCTGGCACGCCCCTCCAGGCCGGCAGGTGGCAGCACCCGCCCGGGCACCGGGTGAGGTCGGTGGCGGGCTCTAGCCCACTGCCTCCCTTGGGGCCGGCGTCGCATCCCAGCCCGGTGCTCGGCGGCAGTGGCTCCTAACTTCATGGAGGTGGCTTGCCTGTCCCCGAGCCCCTGCTGGGCGCCGCGGGCAGCGAAGGCGCGGGCGAGCTGCCTGGCCCCGGGCGCCAATGAAGAAGCCGCGTGGCTCCTTCGCGCCCTCTGAGCCGGGGCCGCGGGCGCACGCGGCTGGCACCGCGAGCGGACTAGGGATGCGTCCCGTCCCCATCCAGCCCCAGGGGCCGCGCGCTCTGGAAGCTGGGCTCCGTCTTGGCCCTAGGAGCCTTGCGCCGAGCCAAAAGTCACCAGCGAGGCCTGCAGATGGCCGGGCCTCTGGGGCGGGGCAAGAGGACAGACTGGCTCCTGAAACCAGCGCCCCCAGCTTGAGTCGGCCGAGGGTAGCTGGCAGAGCCGCTTCATCGCGCACAAAGCGCGTTCACACCGCCCCCCTTCAATCCTCCAGCTCCGGATTCCACCCCAGAGGAAGCAGGCGCACAGGTTGACCCACGTGGCCCAAGTTCCTAATTGGCCTAATCCCCAAACGAATGGCTCCCTGAACGGTGCACACCCCATTACCTGCACTGACTCCCATAGTACGCCTTGTTCCTTAAATACTGTCATCTCTTCGGGCGTTAAGTCTCTCTCGTCCTTGGGGCGGGG